AAAAAGGGAAAAAAAAAAAAAAAAAAAAAAAAAAAAAAAAGAAACGAGGAAAATTCAACACACCAGTGGTAGGACGTAAAACGCAAGTTCGAAGATAACGAAAGTGAAAAACAGAATAGCAGTCATAAAGTAAATAAGTGCAGTACCTAAAATTGACAAGCTCGAAATAACGATGAGATCGATTAACGACGACCAATACAATCGTAAAAAGTTCATATCGATCAGTAGCCAATTGACGAAATAAAAATCATATAACACAAGCAACACGTACCGTAAAAAGTCACAAGGGGATAGAGAAAAAACGAACGATCGAAAGGCGAAAAAATTGATATCCAAAAGAAAAAAAAAAATTCATACAATCGAGTGCGAAAGTGCAGTTTGAAAAATGGGTCAACAGCTTCAGGGAAATTTCGATTGGCGTTGGTCAACGATTACGAGGTTCGTAATAAATGACTGTACCCGGTATATAAATTGTATCTTTCTCCGATAGATTTGCATTACGAAACACCATTTTTTCAGAAGGCTGCGGCGCTCTGCTGTCTTTCGTCGCGCGCGTGTTGCTCTGGTACAATATATTATTATATGATGTGGAATGCAGTTGATACACAGTAGCGAGTTAAACGTCAATAGTTGAGGGTGGTCAAATAGGGCGTCAGGACACCTTGCGCGGTTACGGACTTTACGACACCCCCGCATATGCCCACTCCATTATCATACCCATGCTTATACACTTACCACTGGCCCCACGGAGCTGCTATCAATACTCCTCGCGTGCATGATAATACAAGGGAAGCAAACTGCTCCCTGGATACGTGATATAAACGCTATTAACCTTATAGAATTCCACGACTATCACTGATATCACGTTTATAGGTTAAAATACTAACAATGGTAAATTTGTTTTTATTAAGCCTTAAGCAGGAACACGATCGTTGGTTCAGACGCATCGATTATCCTGTCGAGCATAGGTTTGCAATTATTATACAAGGGCGGAATGAAATTATCGTTTTATCGTACAAAAAAAAAAAGGGGTTGAATAAAGTGTCATGCCGTATGACCGAAGGAGATTTATTATTCACAGGATAAATTCATTGTACCGACGCCTTTTTGAATTATTCAGATAAACCAATATCGCGCGCATGTACCGACCAATGGTTTGACTGAGCCGTGAGATTTTCCATGAATAAAAATTTACTCGCGATTATCGAATCTCCGGGCATTTCTCGGTAAAAGCACGTCGCGCTGTAATTGGTAATATTGAAAAGGTAATCGAATAATGATGCATACGAGAAAGGAAAGCGAACAAACGTAAACTTCAAAATTATCATTTACGTCGTATAACAAACATTCGTGTTTGAAATAACGTGCCTGACCGATGCGAAAAATTATACTCCAGGGCCATGAATTAATCAAGGTCAGTAGAAGCATTGGCGGAAATAAAGATTGGCGTGATGTAAAAGGTGCTTCTTTTCGATTTCCAAGTAATTCTCAAAGAGACTCGAAGTCTTAACGAGCCCTTTAACATTACATTGAGAGAAGCACGCGCGAGAGACAGAATACGTTTCCTGTGCAACAAGTACAGTAACAGCTGTTTCATTGTCCGTATATACATATACAGATATAGAGAGAGTGCCTAGACTTGGCACAGATCCAGAAATACTTATTGAACTTAACCTCGAGAATAGAAATATAGAGGGTCTAGGGATAGTTTCTCGATCCTATCGTTAAAGTGCAACAAGTTGACCAACGGCTCGAGCATTATCTCTGTATATTCATATACAGTAACTTGAGACTTGGCATAGATTCAAAAGCACTCAAAGAACGTAACCTCCTCGTGCGCAACCTCAGACTTGACCTAAGCTAGTATCAGGAGTCTTTACGTAACAAAGGGATCGAGTGATCATTATTCATATATACTGGTACAGCCTGGGAAGTCCGATAAACGAAAACTCCCTAGAGTGCTCGAAGAACGTATAGAGCGTTTCCATAATGCATTGAAGACGATAAGAATTTATTTTGAAAATATGCATTGGCGTATTAGTTGAACTTCATGGATGAAATTTAAACGAAAAAAAGAGAGAAATCTTGTTTTCTTACTATCAAGTACCAACCTGTACGATCGGGTTCTTTGGTAAAAATATTGTCGAGTAAAGGGGACAAAAAAATAGGAAAGATTAGCGTGACAAATAATAGGTATAAATGGATTTATTATAAATTTAAGCATCCCTTCCTTGTGAAACTCCTTCGTTATTCTTGATTGGATTTACGAAGGGATATCGAATTGCCGGTTAAGGATCCGCTCGAGAATGTCCTGCCAGGCAGCAAGTCCTGGGATAAAAGGATTTATTCGCGCTACGCTCTCCCATAACTGATAGCCTTGATCATCCTTGTGTATTGCGCTTGAGAAAGACTGAATTATTCTTTCATGGATTTGAACTGACATGATAGAGTATATATTTATCGTAAAATATTAAACAGCCTGTACGCGTGTTAAAGGATGTTAAAGTGTAACTTTTAAATGAAAATATAGCTATAACGTTTATTTGTATTAATTCCGTACATTATTTTTTCTCCTCTTCAAGTAATAACTTTACCATTGACTTCAAATATAATACAGTGGAACTTCGATAACTCGAATCTCAAGGGGAACGAAATGTGCTTCGAGTTATCGTAGTTACGCCCCATCTGGGTTTTCAAGTTATAAAAGTAAAAAATTCGAAAATTCATACCCTTAAAGAGGTTTTTGACTTATAGAAGTTCGAGTTATCGAAGTCCCACTTTAATTATTTATACCCGGTTTACGTTGAATTAAATAGTCCAAATTTTCAACAATACGTCCATGTAATATTACACAAGGAATTGAACGAGTATCGCGTCTGTCAAAATGCGGGTCCTTCTGACAACTAATTAATTTGATAAAATATAAACTTTAAGGTAATCATATATTATTGGGATATTTGTAAGGGCAGCTGGACCATCCGGAAACATAGTTTTTACGAAAAACAAACGTTTTTCGAAAATTGTTAAACTAGGTCAATATGAAAATCTCTACAAAAATAAGTAAATGTTAAATGTATCGTAATCCGAGTGTGCCAAACACGTATCACGCTCGTTAAGTGTTTCATGAATGATAAACGAATCGAGCAATTAATCATATTCTCGTAACGATGTCATGGACTACAATAAAAAATAAAGAATCTCAGTCTTATAAAATATCAATTAATAACGATAACGAGAGCTTAAATTTGTTCGTGTATTTCGTCATATGAATAACCGATCGTGCGATAAAGGCAGGCAAAAATGAAAATAAAAGAATCTGTATCTGAGACGGTGACAGGGTTGACGAGAAAAAGAAACGAGGAAATTTTATGAAATTCGAAGGAGAATTTCCGCGTGTCAAAGAAACTTGCTACAGTAAACATTGAGCCGTTGATTGTAAATTCTTTTGATTGCAGAAAAACGATATCAAAAAACAAGAAATACATTGACGAAGAAAAAAACTTTTTCTTAGAAAAACCTGCGGCTGGTATCCCTTCTCAAAACGTTTTACTCAGATTATCCAAAATTTATATTCAAGTCATTCTTTCCAAAATTGAAAAGACTTAAGAGATTTTTGTACAATCTTAATGAAAAAGAAAATTACATCGGTGCTGCAAGAGTAATAAAAAAAAAATATTATTCGAACTCACCTCAGGGACGTAGACAGTTCTTTACGTGACGAAACGAATGGCTGCCGAATTTGAGACATGCACCGTGCCGCTTTTAAAGGACCCAAAAAGGTCCTTTTTTTATGTAGTGTATCACACGCCGTCCAAAAGAGGCTCACACACGTACGGAAGCACGCACACGCACACCGCTGCAACAGACATGCTTGTAGTGAGTTAAGGATACGAAAAAAAAAAATAGAAAAGATCAACTTAAAAAAATTATCCCCACCTCGGTAAGAGGAATCAAAAAAACTTCACTCGGGGGCACGAATTCCAAAATTTGTTTATCCCTGGAACCCTGTTGATTATTCGAATGATACAGAGAAAAGCTCACGGATTATGACATACACGACCAACGTGTTTCCAATCAAAGCACGGTAATACAATCTTGACGAATATATAATAACAAAAAAATCCAAATTTGTAAAAACCGAAAAACAATAACCTCGACGAATCTTTCTTTTTTTCCCCACGAGGAAACACCAGGTCGATGTGCACTCGAGCGGGCCGTGACTACGACTGCTACGCTACTGGCTAGAATACACGGAGCTGCTCCGATTCCCGTAGTTCCCTATGCTGCTATACTGTGCTATATAATACTGTACTATACTGCATACCTACAGTACTATAGACGCGTACACTATACATGGCAGTAGAGTAGATACGTACACGGTAACGTAGCAGTACTGTGAGTGTACGCGATACGGCTTACATAGGGACCTACGGAGATCCTACGATCCTGCGCGGTAAGGTGGGTGCCCAGCTTTAAGGGACTATCCACACCAAAATATCGTCGAATGGTTAGTACGAGTAGGTACTACTGTCGACGGATTAGTATAGAAGGTAAAAGGGGTCGGTACGATCTGGGGTAGTGAGTTTCAAGTGGTGTGAGTTCCACTTTAAGTGAGGGTCAGATTTAAGGGGTATTCACAACGGATAATATAATTTTTTTTAATAATAAAATAAAATGTTTACCCCTTGCGTGATTGTTATCGAACAAGCACTGGAGATATAAAAAGCTTACATTAAATGGTTTTCACGATTGGGATATAGTTTTAATTTGGTGTGAAGGATTCGTTACTTTTTGTATTAGGAAACAAATTCAATTCTGAGCTAAAAGCAAGAAATGTGCATATGCGGATATATGTACGGCATTAGCACTTAACGTGAAGATGCCTTCACACCGAGCCTCTTAAAGGATAAGTACTGGTCTATATATATGTGCACGAGTACCTATCAAGATGATGGGGTCTTGAGGATTTTCCATCCTAAGAAACATGTGCTACGTGAAGCAATGATACTAAAATCTTAAAGCGACTTCACACTAAATCGTATGCACAATAATTTTTACTACAGTGAAATTCTTCGTTTAAAGAGTATAATGCTTGAAAAAGTTATATAGTTTAAGATACCTTCACACTGCGTAATGTTTGTTATGATAGGATTACATGGGGAATACAAATAATTACAAGGATAAGGCTGTTGTGAAATAAAATAAAGCTATCCTCACACCAAATGACATTTTGATATGTAAATTTCTTATATCTTCAAGATTCTCCATATTGATTGAGAAAAAGATATATTCTGTATGTAACCTAACATAAACTGAAGCTGGTGAATAGTACACACTATTTTCAAGCAAAGGAGCATCCTTATGCCGCCTTCACACTTAATCGCATTTTTCGCATGAATAAACATATACATATATAGTATGTTATGTATAATACGGACCAGATTGTATACGTCAAGTAATTTTTACATTTCATTGAGTATGCTTTGAATAAGGTACATATTCTTATCATTAGGTTTTCTTCACACCGCCGCAATGAAATACAGATATTCAAGATTTATTTGCATAATCCTATATACGGTACGGTAATGAAGTCGCTCGTAAAACGAATTCGAAGTCTGAAGAACAATGGTTGAGGTATTTCGAAAATCCTAAGATTCGTTTATACCGAATCGTAAAAAAGAGTCCTGGATAAATTCAACATAAATGCCAACGGTATACTATTACCATTATTAAGGTACCTCGTAAAAAGGTTTCCAAGTTTTCCGATAATCTAGTATATTTTGAGAGAAAATTACGTTTCACTCACAACGAAAAAAAAATTGAAAACATAAATTCGCCTTAACTCCATTCCCATTGCTAATACAATGCATATGTGAAAGGAAGTCGTTATTTCGATCAAATAAACAATAAGTCTACGAACCAAAAATATCACCTGATAAATAATTATAGAAAATTTGACAAAAATTCAATTAAGAAAAAAAAAAATTCTTTTAATACTCCTTGCAACTAAATTCTAATAAAAAGCATATCCCTATAACGTTTTCATCGGTTGAGTACCACTGAGCTCCCTTAAACGGGCTACCGCTAATTCGTCATTTCATCAAACGAACGACTAGCCTTTTTGCAACGTCCCGTAGAACGACCTCGATGTTAATGAGCGTACGAATGTATAATTTGAAACAGCTGTATAAATAGCTAATAAATTCAGCGTAATAAGTCAATCCAGATATAAACTATATAAATATATAGTTAATTAAAATATTACTGAAAGGATTGGATATTATATCACCAGAATATTCAACATTTTTGAAACAGCCTGTATTGTATTATAAACCATGTGTATATCTAAACTGAACAAAAAATTAACATGCAAATCCAACGGCACGCGACCTCATATATCGTACAAGCAAAGCATACGTCGTCGAAAGGATCGAAATTTATTATTTGTCGCATATAAGTATATCCTATAATTAAGATATATCTTGTAAAAGACAGAAAGACCGGATTTATTAATTTTTTTATTATTAAAGGATCGCTGGACTCTTTTTGACGAGCTCTGTAGAATTACAGTTGGCTGTAATTATAAGCGTATGAAAAGTCAATATGAAACTATGAATATCAAGAAGTATAATCAACTAATCACTAATCAGTATGCAAAAGAATTGCGTCGGTTTCCCATTCTTCAGTAGGTTGAGTAACCTTCTGGAAAATATTACGTATCCAACTATGCCATAGTATCACGTGACCACTACTACTATAGCTTCATACATAATATGGTAATATAGGGAACCTCTTGAAATTTACGGAAATCCTAGGGCTTATTTTACAAAGCGTCCACCGTCTATTGGTGTCCCCTCGTTTTTCCTTTATGCGAAAATCATCGAGTAAACTCTCTTGGACGTCCCTTGGGAAAATTCGTAGTCCTTCGTGATGTCATAGATCACAGGAGGACTTGCGTGAAGATTCGTGGGAATTTTTCATAGGGTTACCGAAAAAGGAAAAACAAGCATCGAGTAAAAAAAAGGATTCGTGGTAATAATTGAGGATAAAAAGGACAAAGGAATAATAAGAATGAAGGGATGATTGACGCTCTTGATTCTAATTATTTATGATGTAATTATGACTTTTTATTGAAAATAAACTATTAAGTTTTTTTTAGTTGTCAAGTAAGAAATGATGAAAGAAAAGAAATATGTCACTTATCATTTATGGCGTTCTAGTTCACTGAATATCATATGAATTTCTAAAGAAATTTTGACATGGCCTTTTAACCCTCGTTTTTTTGTTTTTTATCTTTCCATTTTCTCACATAATTTCCAGGGCATGGTATATATAAACTGTAATTTCGGATATGATTGCGCTATTCTATAGTGTTTAGGGTCTATGGGGTGCAAAAAGCCCACGGGGTGTTACACTTGAAACCCATCAAAGAAACAACCCTCTTATGATTGTGTTAACCCGGCCCGACCACAATAGGTGTGGGAAACCACTAGTGGCACCTTTTTATGATAAAATCCAAATTCTACTTGGACCGTACCTTTATTTTATGGGACATTTTTTCGGAATATTAAGTGAACTTTGGTATCCCCGCGGGAACTCTCCATTGATGATGTTTTATAATTTCTTAAGAATTCTTGTAAGAATATTCCAAGTTTCGCCGTACTTTCAAATTGGCGGATCATACCAATTTACACATCTAAAAGCAAAAATTTAAAGAAAAAGTCAAACAAATATTATCTTTGAAGAAAAAAATGGTTGACAATTTGTCATAAGTTTATCGTTACTTGCACATGATTTTTGTTAATTCTAATACTTTATAGACGTAATGTCAGAAAGTAAAAATTATTCAATAATATCCACGAAGAAAGTTTCTAGGAATATAAAACTTATAAAGAAACCATGTGACGTAAGAACTTCATAAAATATGGATTTCGAAAAAAGAATGCCAAATTCACTCGATCACAAAAAAGACCATAGTTATTAGTAAAGGTTAGAAGCCTGGGATTAGTAATTAGCACATCCACACAAGAATAGTGTAGTACAAAAAAGAAGAAAGAAAAATTTCTTTGATTTTTCCAAAAAGTCCCTGAGCGCGTATAATAAGCGTTTTTATACAGGATATTCTCAGCGGGTCCCATTCAGTGTACGAGTATTTGTTCTCTCTTTTCTTTTTCTATGTCAGATTTATCGTGGTGAGGTCAACAGAATATATACTATGCAAGGGGTGTAACACTATTTCCAGATAGCAGGCACGCAACACGATTGTGCGCCACAAATTTCCTAGATACAATGGTACAAAAAATTCCAATAATTCAAACCATCGAAAAAGCGACAGCTTCTCCCTTGTAGGTACATATTTATTTTAGGAGTTAAAAAAAATTATTCCTTGATAAAATCCACAATGAAGGACGCATTTATTTTTAACTCTTCGCTAGAATAGCTTGGGTGTCAAACACCCAGAACTGTGTAGAATTGTTATTATTAAAATAACATCAATCGTACTGAATGTTCAATCTAAACTTAAAACACAAAAGAGGTATCAAGTTCATATAGATAGAACTGTTATAGTACGCCATTTGATAACTAAATATCGCTGTCGGTAGTTACATATAACACAAACAGAACAGAATAATAAGCAGATTTGAAATACACATGAAATACCCAGTCTCTGAATTGGGAGTAATAGAAACCTCGTATGCGTAGACTATTTAAATAAAGTTGCCATATATTTCATTGAAACAGTATGATCTAAACGAATAGAATAGCGAAGAACTGCATGTTACTGTTTGGGTATCTGCCACAGGGATTGGCACTGTTTTTTTATTCTATTTGAAATTTTCACTCTCACGCATTAGCGAGCAGCGACTCAACACGAATATGGTTAGAGACTCTTATCGATTATTGCAGATTCAAATATCTGTGTCACTTTTCATTTTTCCTGACAGACTTGGTACAGTCATTGCGTATGAAGGGATTTAAAACCTTATTCTACCTTTGTATGAGGTTGATTAATTATAGTTTTTATAAAATCAAGAGCATCGGCATCGACATCTGCAAAAAATTAACTCGAAAATGAAAACCATATGTGCTGTAGTGTCCGAGGGCCAGGTACATACCAACATTTCTGTGCAGAGAGTCTTGTACAGGAAGACGATTCTTCGATAAAGACATGATTGCTCCAATCATGGTCGATATTGTCGGGAGCCCATGTCATGCGCTTTTCGCTATATTCATCTATGAACAAAGAGTTTTACAGATTAATGCCTTGCTATGCAATGTTATGCTCGTTTGGTCAATTTCATAGTTATCAGACTCACCTTTGGTTTCTTTATCGTCAGCGATTGTCCTTTGCGCGGTGTTAATAGTGGATTGTTCCAATGAATGTCAACGATATTTTATTCTTGATTAAGCAAGTCATTCATATTATTTATCGCTTTTTATCGTTCTACCCACTTCCGAACAGTCTTTTGACTTATATAAATACCTTGCAATAGCAGCGTAATACATTATTGGTCCTTTCGGATTTGTACACAAAAAGTGCTTCAAATAATTCTGCGTATGCAATACTCATTGGAGTAAACTTTCAATTTACGATTTTCTGACTCTCTGAGCGTTTTATCAAGAGACTCGGTCGAGTCTCGCGCCAAGTACAGGCAACCGGCTGTACAGGGCGCAGCGCGCCGAGACTCTTTACTCGAGTCAACTCCTTATACCTGTGTTTGGAACAAAATATCTTATGACCCGCTATATATGAGGAAAAGTTATTGATACATTCACTATAGGAATTGAAGGTTCTGAAGCGATTGCCACCAAGTTCAATACGATTAGTGTACGAGATCAGGGCGTATTGAGATGGTATCAATACTTTTTGTTAGAGGAATTCAAAGCAATCCTGTACTTGGCGTAGTTTTTTACACGTAAGTGTTTTTTGGGGGATTGAATGACTTACTGTAGTGAGTATTAGGGCACACTATGCTTATTGCAAGTACGTTTGCCATTTCTACTCTATGCGGAGTCTTTATGAGTTATCGACGTCACGCTCTTGTTAAACTACAGTTTTTAGGATTTTTTTTTACTATAGAGATTTTGGACATAAACAGATTTACAAAGTATTGCCTCTTGTTTGTATATATTGCAAAGCAATACGGGGCGAATCTCAACTTTATGGATTCTTGCAAATGCATAGTGTAGCCTGCAAGAAGCGGACTTAGAGTGGATTTGTAATCAAGCAACGCTATTGCGTGACACCTTAGACACGCAATTCATTTCGGACGAATAACTCTTGTGATGTAACGACCCAATTTAACTTAATGTTTCTCATTGCGCGTCCATATTGCATACAGAGTGTAAGGTTAGGCGAATTTTTCTATTGCAGAATAAATATTCTTTTTTAAAGAATTGATGCACATACTCAAAATTTCATTTTGCTTACAGCTTATTTACAATGTACTGTGGAGAAGAGTTCAGTTAAACAAAAATTCAATTTATCAATAGTATTTTGTGTACAGATGTATATGAAAATGTAATATTTTGCTTGTATTTTTTTTTATTCATTAGGAGTGGTGGTACTTTGCAGTGGCGAATGCTATCTTGAGTTCTCTATAAATAAAGGTTCATTTTGATTCTTTTATAAGATTTTCTACACTACTGTGTCATTATATTCTTCTCCCTGTCGATATTTCCCTTAATATTAATATCGCGTGTTTGCCTTTATTTTATTTTGGTAATATAATATCCATGGGTCTACATTTCTGTAATGCAATAATCTAAAAAACCTCTATTGCATGGCTATCACTGTATCATAATACAAATGAGCTTTAAGCAAAGACGTCTGTAGTATATTTGTGGTTTAATGTTGCACAATTGATCAATTAAAAAGAATATTTTTGTATCTAAATCATTTAACTAACAATATATTCATTCATGTTTGATTAACTCTATTCTATGGTTCATCGCCATTTTTAAATACCACAGGGTCTTTGGTATTACATAAAATTACATAATTTTATAAAAATTTTATTCTGACGTCAAAACATCAAAACCTTAAACGTTTATATTGTGTGTAGCTTTTGACACAATCTTCTATGATTTTCTCTGTATCTAAGATAGTTTTATGTTATAAATCTCATAAAAAGTTGTATATTTATTATGTTATTTCTACCTCAGGATACATTCCATAATTTATTGCTAGTATTGCGAGCATGACTATGTCTCATTAATAAATCATAAAACAATTCATCAGTAAATAATCATTCTGGATAGATGATCTGAGTGACTTTCAGTACATTTCGTGTTATTATAAACTAAATACGCAATAAGTAAGATTTGGTAACTCATTTATTAAACTTACTACATTGATAATTGTTTTTATTTCTTGACATCTAGACCACTGACATGTTTTATTTTCTGAACCCTTGGATCATCTGGTCTTATAACTGTAATAAAATTCAAAAACTGTTACTTGATACTTTTGTATTTTTTTTGCAATTTGGTTCATTTAATCTGAAGCAGTTGGAAAATAAATCAATTGAAAAATGCTATATGCAATTATTCATGTTACTAACCAATTTAACAAATATAAACATTATACATGCAACGTAAGTTATTATGTAATCCAAAATATTACCTACCGATATTATACATCCTGTATTTTTTCGTGAACGCCTCCGGGTTGAAACCAGTCTTGGTGAATGCATAACCCAATAAAGCCAACCCAACAAAAGCGTGAGCAGCACCAAAAACGATATCAGGTGATGATTCGCAAAATTTCATAAGAACTTTCTTTACAGGTGCTGCAAAGTTAAATGAGGTTAAAATTAATTAGGTTAAGTATTACTAACATTAAAACTTTTTCTGACATACTTTTCGGAATCCAGAAGGTTGCGGTAATCATTTTTGTTTTTTGTTACTCCTCTTCTTATTCAAAACGCAAAAATGTCTCCTTATAATCTGGAAGAATCACAAACGATTACGACATCCAGCCACATCCAGCTGATTTTCGTACTAAGTACAACACTGCTGCCATCACAGTCACGCGTAGACATTCTGAAGCTCTATGAAACTTACCGACGTAGCACAGCATTTAATTCAAATTTATAAATTTTATTATTGGCTATTTCACCGTAATAATAAAAATACCAGACATAACGTATCAAGGAGATAAACTATTATTTTGATTTTGCAAAAATATAAAATTGTATATTATCATTTTTTCTTAATGACGAAGTATTGTTATTAAAATAAAATCATTCTAAATATGCCGAACAAACATCCATCATTACTAAGTTATGTACAGAATTTACCCAGTATGTGACTCGCTGAATTAATGTTAAATATAGCAAAAGTTAAAAATTATGTTTTCGCCCGGGATCGAACCGGGGACCTTCCGCGTGTTAGGCGGATGTGATAACCACTACACCACGAAAACCCTTATAGTATTTTTTACATTTTTCCAAAGTAAGTAAGTATTTGTAACAGTAAACAAACTATGGTTATACAAAGAACTAATGATGTAAAACGCATCTTATTACGTGCAATGATTCCACATATTTTTCATTTACTTACCAAAAGAGCAGCGATTCCCTTAAGTCTCTCGTACGTTCATACATCGTTAATTTATATCAACAAGATTCCCTTAACTTCTGTTTGTACACTGATTTACCATTAACAATTGAAACACTTACTATAATGCGATTCTTATACCATGTCTTAGTAAGACGACACTGGCTATTTTCCCATCGGCGTCAAAAAAGAGTTGAAGTACGTTATTGTACCTCCGTTTATAGTTTAAAATTAAGCAGATATACAATATAAGTATTTCGGTTCTCCAATTTTGTTCCCGGTGAAAACATAGCCACTGTAACAAAATATATTATTTTATCAAATCAAAGCCTACCAGTCCATAGTTAAACCTTCGTGCTAACCCTGCAAATCTCTAATGCCAATGCAACACACGTGTTTCTTTCTCCCATTTTGTATATATATACGTATGTCTGTTCGTTATCCTACATGTGCGTTTGCATCGTGCGAAATATACGCTACGACAATCTCATATGACACGATGTCTCGTAATGTAATACGAGAAGCTGCTTCAAGTTTTGCTGCTTAAGAAATACCGTGAGCGTGAATTTTGCAAGAGCTCTCGAATTTCGAATTGAATAAAGAACGACTGCTTTTGGTTTCCAATGCGATCCAAGCTGCTTTCGCTCGCGACAATTGTCCCACGCCTAGACAACTCCGAAATCATGCGAGTATAAATTTCGATAGACCGTTCAGAGACAATAATCAATTTGTCTATTATGCGAGAATCTAACAGTTAAAAGATTTGCATAATCTGCTATTTATTATTTGCTTTGTGTTCCGTATACAAATTTATCTTTAAACAGTCCTCCAGACGGTATCTTTATGTTCAACATAATTGTTTTACTGTTTTCCAAAAGAATAAAACCGCTATACGTGAGAATCATTGTAATCACGTGCTTAATAATATCACTATAATATCTACAATGTACTGTATCATGTAGTAGTGTCCAATTATAGCTGAAGATGCAGGAACAAAAAAATTCCGCGGAATAATACACGTGTTATGTAAATTATATACATCGGACTGCTCGTTAGCAGTCTTAAGAAAATTCTTAGCAAGAATCCAATATATTCCAAAGAGCACGTTTGATTCTTCAGGATGCGCAGTCCTTCGTTCAGTTAATTGAATCTAATCAAACTTCTCCTTGTATCCATTGGCAATGTCAAAATAAAAATAATAATTTTATTCAATACCTACAATCGAAAGTGAAATGGTTACGTTAATCCGTGACTCTTTTGTTTTTAGTGTGATGTTATTATTGTCCTATCTAAGTACCCACGCAAGTGAAAGGACACAGTGTGACTAATATTAGGAAAAGAATGCATTAGGCCGATCAGCATTCTTTCTTTCTGACATCTTGAAGATTCCTTTGGGGTTATCTTCCCTTCCCCTCGCCCTCCTACCTTCTCCATATATTCTTTTCGTTTCTCATGGAATATAGGTGGGCCCAATTCGACCCAGATCCATTGCTCTCGAATATCGTACCTTTCTCCGCATAACGAGTTGAATCTTTCACTTTGATTTCTTTCACTACGGTGAACGGTAGAGTGACCTTTAACCTCTGGAAGTGCCGATTTTATATATCAATAGATCAATAAAATAACAAGCAGCCTGCTGGTGAAATGTCACTAATTTTTTCCTCAAAACTCCGTCGGTACAACAAATTTACTTTATTTTTGCTATGAGGAAGATGCATGGCAGATAAAAGTGAAGGACCGACGATGTAGAATTATTTGAAGTTATTTTAAAGGTGCGTACACACATGAGCACATATATGCATGGTGGGTACCGTAAGGTTGTTACGTTAAAAAAATTACTAGAGTCAGTGTCAATGCCACGATTATTATCATGGTTACTGGCTCCTTCAAAAACGGTAAATTCTTGGGAGACAACAAAAAGAAAATTACTTTTTTACTTTTTTTGTAACTGTACAAGTCGCCAATGGTCACGTAGATGGATATTACGATCGTTTTAACGAACATTTAATCAATTTTGAAAGATCAAGGCAAACCCGATCATTTTGAAACTCGAACTTAAACTTTTTAATTTACTCTCTTTTTATTTGTCAACAACGAATATTCAGATGGGTGCCTTTTTAAGTTGAGAGAAAGTTTCAAAATTTATATGAAATTTCCTTTTTGTAGATGCAGCTAGTGATATTAACTAGGATGTGGTCAAATTTCGAATGGAAAGGCGAGGTCGGTTAGGTTAGGTTTCTTTATATTCGGGTTATTTTCGGTTACACTAGGTTGGCTTAGGCTAGGTTAAATAGTATGCATATTATTTTCTCTCTCAAAGATCATCAAAAATACCGCCTTGGATCTGCTCGAGGACGTTATCATGTATATATAAAGAAGTGGGGGGGTTGATCGAAAGTCCAAAAAGAGATCCGTTATTGAGCTGCTTTAAAGGATTCTTCGAAATATTCAGCAACGTCAAATTATTCAAGTTTCTTAACGCTCCTGGTCGAATGTCCGATATACGATTTCCCTCGAGTAAAAGGATTTGCAATCCTGGTACGCTGCTGAATGTATACGAATCAAGAATTTCTAACAAATTTTCATTGAGATTAAGAAAGATCAAAGATTTAGGCAGTTCGGCTAAAGAATCCTTTTCGTATCCTGTTATCTTGTTTCTGACAAGTAAAAGGTCCCGGAGATTTCTGGCATCCTTCAATGAATTCTTCTCGATGACTGATATGAAATTGTCATTGCAGTCGAGTGTCTTCAGTTTCACCAGGTCCTTCGAGAATCCAGCTTCCAACCTTGTGATTTTATTGAACGCCAATTTGAGATTCTTCAAGGATATTAGACCACGAAATGCATTATCCTGTATACCGACTATATCATTTTTCGCGAGATTCAAAAGATTTAATTTTCCTTGATTTTGGAAAATTCCATCAGGAATGTACAGGATTTGATTCTGTGAGAGATATAGTTCTTCCATTGTATCAGGGAGGCTCGATATGAAACTCAGATCTACCAACTTATTTTGAGACAAATAGAGACCATAGAGTTTCGTAGCACCGAAGGATCCATTTTCAATATTTTCAATAAAGTTGGCGTGAAAATAGAGAAATTTTATAAATTCATTTTTTATTGTCTTATACTTGATCTGCTTGATTCTGTTATGCCCAAGATTCACCAGGGCAACGTCTTTTGGTAAATCGTTCAGTAGTTCTTGTGTGATTTCTTCGATGGCGTTGTTCGATAAATCGATTTGATAAATACCGAGATTATGTATTTTGAACCAGTTCAAAGCGAAACTCGTTATATTGTATCCTTGAAGATTCAAACGTCCTTCGATGGGATGAACGGTTATCCTTTTACATCCTTCGTTTGGAATTTCGTCCTTTTCCAAATTTTCGACTGTTTCCAAGGTTCCGTTGAATATGCACAGTTTGATTTCCTGCGAAGGTCCTGCAGTGCGATTGAAAGCAATTCCTATCTTTTGTAAGAAAGTTTCGCTTTCCAGATAACAAAATGTATCTTGTTGACAATCCGAATTATTACTATCTTCGTCCTTTATTTTTTCTATTTTCAAACTCAAAGGATTTTCGAAGATCCTTGTACTGATGGTCCACAGACTGTTATTTTTTATAAGGATTTCACTGGTTTTGGGAATCCCGTAGAATTCACCGCCATTCATCACCTTTATTTTATTTTGGGAGAAGTTCAATAACTTCAAATTGTTCAAACCAGAAAAAGCACCGTCCACACTCGAAATATTATTCCTGTCAAGGAATAGGTATTCGAGATCTTTTAAATTTTCGAAAATTCCACCGGGAAGATTCGTTAATAAATTTCCCGTCAGATTCAAAGTTTTCACATTCACTTCCCGAAATGCTTCAGGATGAATTTCCTTTATTCCACAATTAGATAAATCCAGTTCGTCTGTTTGACCCGTTTTACGAACGCTTCTCAATATTCCGTTATCGATCGTCAATTGAAAATTTTCAAAACCAGCTCCGCCACACGTAACCACACCGAGAACGAATAAAATCCAAAATATCGTCATTCTCAAAGTTAAAAATTCGAACACCGAGGATTATACGTCTCCACTGTATCCCTGAAGATTTGCAGGAAGACTGCAAGTGCTTCTGAGCGTCCAGGATGAAAACAGGTCCTGGCTATCTTTATATAGGTAAGCCTCGGTTAAAAAGATCTTAAGTCAGTATTACAATCGAGATGCTGTAAGATCTGTTGAAGATCACCCAGAACATTGAGATAAGCTTCAATATTAAAAATGACTCGTACGTTTTACTATGCAATAGTAAAAGAAAATGGTACATCAGTATCCTTGGCTTAAAAAAAGAAACAGTGAACCGTCAGCACTTAAAATGCCAAAATCACTTGTAAAACCAAGTTGAAGCAGATATAGTTAAATGGAAAAACCAGTTTCTCATTGAGCCACAGATTCAGGTTTATCAGGTACAGCCCCCCTTTATCCGCGAATCATTTATTGTGACTAATGTAAAAGATAAAATGGATCCCATTCTATACACAGGAGTGCCAAGTATAGTTCCCTCATATATTTTCCGACGTCAACAAGGGTTTTCCCCTAGTCACAGCTCTCTCAGCTTTTTACCAATTTAAAACCAACCACGTATAACTCATTGGATACATCATAATAAAAATTCCTAATTACGAAACAATATTAAAAAAAGGATGATCTAAAAATATGACAAGTCCCACACAGCCGATCATTGCCAGTCGGACTGTATTGCGTGACATGGAGTATCGATACGAAAATAATTGGCAAACGATCAATAAATATCGATAATGACGGACTAGAGCAGTCCAACAGTAGATCCACGGATAGTGATCCGTTGGTCCAAGAAACATAACAAAGGACCACCCAGCATCCTTGTCATCCGTTAACTCAATTTATTTTATTTGAAATTACGCCAGTATCGATTTGACCAAGAGATCTCGATTTTTCCATAGATCCGATCTACCCCTGAGATCGTTACGGTCTTTTCCACTTGAAAGAACTATATACTCCTGAACCATACTATACTGTATACTAAAACTGTCGAGCGTACCCGATCAATCCAGTACGCTTATTCACGAAGAATCGGTTAGCCGATCGCTAGAGCACGACAGTGGATTAAAAAAGGGTCATCGTAGCATATACAAAAAATCCGTAAGGCCCCGTTACGGGGCCTGAGAGTCTTCTGCCATTCTTATATTACTGCGTAGAGGTCGTCGACTCCGACAAAATTTCGTGGCCTGTTTCTTTACTGCTTGTACTAATTATTATTATTTTACACTCGTGCTCGTTTTAATAAATAACAAACATAAGAGTCGTTACAACGCTTAACTATCCGATCCTCTGTGTTTTAACGATACCGCATGTAATGTTACCAGCCGCAGCTTACGCATGCACAGATATATTTATACAGGATTCGAAAGAGCCACACCATCTCGAGTCCAGTGAACCGTCCTGAACTTCCTGAACTGTTCCACATACTGAAGGAAGGGACTCCTTTCGATACAGTCACATTGCAGCATACACGTTTTTAAAAAAAATGTATGAGTAGGCGTACTGGTCTCTAGTAATCGAGACCAGGGAGAACCGAGTAGAGCACCTCGAGTAGTGCAGTATCATATATGGAGTGCATATACGAAGGTGCATGTACACGGGAACGTGCGAGTCTGTCAGTGAATTCTGAGCATCGCTTGTGTTACCCATGGTGGTAACCGTGGTCTTTATGTACAGAGTAGGAGTATAGAAGACCGATGGTATCGGCAGTCGCATGCGGACCAGCCTGCTAGCCGGACTGAAATCCTGAGGCCGCGAGAACGAGAGGCGGGATCGGAAATCAAATTTATGACATAAAACTACATGGGGATTATTGGAAGGTCAGAGAAGATATTTGCATGAGGCTGGAATCGTCGTTGGATTTGACATTTTTTATTCCATTTCGCGAAACGAAGTGTCCCAGTGTAGTGAGACGTGTAGGAGACGGTTTTAAAAAAAAATTTTAAAGAAATAAATTTTTCGAAAATTCGTTCCCTCTAACTCAAAGTGAATGGATCGTACAAGTAGGGAAGTACCGTGAAATGCGGCCTCGTTCGACCGATCCGGGAACGAGATTGACATTAAAAAAGACTAAAAGTATAATAAACGACACGAGTCATCGAATCCGCTGAATAAGTTAATTTCGGAAATGCATTTTGAAATGTCATGTTTTTATTTAAAAAAGTTAAATTGTCGTTAACGTCCAGTTGAACAATTGCCGTGATCGATCGATTCAATTCGATAAGAAGTAATTGGCATTCAAAAGGTCCTTAATCGTTTCGGTGGTCTATGAAAAAGAAGAAATAAAAATTTATGAAATTTTAATAAAAAATAAATATCAACGACAATATGTGGAGACAAAGGCGAATCGGTGTACCGAAAAGGTAATTTTTTGTTTTACACGTATCAGTAAGTAAGATATATAATGTACGTATGAATTTAACAGACACGCGTAACGTATAAGAAGAAACAAAGCACAAATAATTGACACTCGTTGTACCGGCAAAGAATGGTTTCTAGGCGAGTAAATTCATGCATTCCAAGAATTTCCAGTGGAAGCTTCCGCGTGTCTACACGAGTGCGAATGCATTGGTTACTACAAGCAATTCCCTAAGGAAGCAACAACCTACCTACCCAGCTTCCTACCCAGTTAACAACTGCACAAAAGCAACCAGTTCCCGTTCTTACACTGATACAACCGGCTAAACTGACCCAGGTGCATTACCCTGGCTCAGGATCACCTGGCAAAGTGCATCGTGCATACTAAGTGCAACCTCTTGTTCCGTAGAGTCGCCAATGACAGCCGGAATAGTGAGAACTGCTGCTACGGCACTTGCCGCTTCCGGTTTTTGCCATGAAAACAACATTTTCACATTTGAAAATTAGATAAAGAAAATTATTCGATACCTTAAACAGAATTGAAATTGAATTAATTTTTACTCGATAATAACAATCATAAGAACAACGATAAGATATCCTTCATTAAATCTTAATCTGATCAATGAGTCATGCATTCTCGTGTTGAAGTATTACCCTGTTTACGTAATATAGCCATTGTTGTCATATTCGTGCGACATGCCATTGTCAGAGAGACTTCTTTGAGCTAACGATGATTTTTTTCCTTTGACAAAAGAATGCCAGAAGCACGATAGAGAAAAAAAACAATAAGCTTATTCGAATTTGCATTCTTGGTCAAAATCATAAAACGTCTATGATTCGCGTGCTGAATCGAAATTTAAATCTTATGATAATAGTACCATATGTATATTCAATGATATTGCGGTACTGAAAATATGTGATACCGTTATTGCTTGTTAATTTTGACGCTTTGTAATTTTCCTCGTTTTAGCCGTTCAATCAGTGTGTACTGTCAAGCATCGTTACGCGATTTCAGAGCAAAGACCAATTTTTCAATCTCGATAATGATGATGACTGTTCGCGGTACATTAACTCGTAGAGTAGAATATAGTTTGATAAACAGTCTAATAAGAGTTTCAATGAAAATATGCAAAATAGGTAATACAGTCCCTCTTTTATGATCAATAATGGAATAGTTCAATGATAATTAAAAAATTTTTTTTAACAAAATCGTTGGTCGTGGATTTCATACTTATTAATAAAATTGATCTCTACATATGCTGGAGCGTGAGAAGGTTTAGGATAGCTGACGAAAACTGGTTTCTGGAGTAAGAATTTTCTTTGGTAACTTGTATTTTACGTAGCTAACCAGACGCGATCATTTGCGAACATTGCGATTTTCATGATGAGGCCGGAAGTAATCGATTATTCGAATTTCTCGAATTTACGATCTCGCGCTAACTGCTGTGTATGATGCAATAATTATTAATTTTAATACACCGTGACAATATTTTCCGTTTGAATATTATAACTTTAACGTTTATTTACGAAAAATTTTATGAAAATTAACAATGATGCACAACATGATTTTCATAAGCGATTTTCATCACTGTTGTTATTACTTGATAAAATTTGCACACGCGAATCCGCCAAGATTTGAAAAGATGACACACGATTAGTGTTATAGTACCGTTACGTAATGCTTGACATTCAAAAATTGAAGAATTTTTCTGAAATTATTCGTAGATCTCACGGGAAGCATAAAAATTCGAATAACGTTCCAATTGATTGCGCATACGTGAATTTAAATTGCAAAGACACGAATTACAATCTCCCGTTCAAAAAAAAATGTGGGTGTTATTAAAAAGTAATTATATCAACCGCACGAACGTGCAATTAACACGATTTTCATTTACTCTGAATTTTAATGACTGTGTCGAGACGATCGCCGGCCGAGTAGTTTTCCGCTAATACAGTCAGACACCAGGATAGCTCATTGTGATGGTAAAGAATTATAGCGCAAACCATACTGTCCGCCCTTGCGCCATTTGACACAATCGACTAAAGACGCAACTTATAGATCCGGATCGAATCACGTTTCATCATCATAGCCAAAAAAGGAATACGCAAAGCCCACGAGAGTCACGAGAGTAAAATGGAATGACTAGAAATCATAAAAAAATAATTTTTCAAAAAATACAGTAATCGAGGTAAAAAGTTTATAACACTCGACAGACATTATTAATTTTTATGATAAAAACAGAATCTTGGTGGACAATCTCCAAGTAATTTGTAAAATGACGTCATGCCCTGGTTGCTACTCTGCCAACCCAGATAGTAGACGGAACGTGACAAACGTAGTAGTCGTATATTAAAAAAAAGTCTGTTTAATAAACAAACATGTACAATGCTCAAAATACACAATTATTTATATCATTCTTATACCCTTTATTTTTAGAAATTCTCTTTTCGTTAAACTTTCAGGACCAGCGAATTGGTAGCACTGGTAGCGCTCTCCAGCACACTCTTCCTATTTCTGCACACGCGGGATCTGCATTCTAGATTACGCGAAATGGAATTTCGACTTCAGCCAGAGGACGACGAAGCGTTAACGGCAAATCAGCTATCGTCCGGTGAGTGTTTAGCTAAAAATCCAAAGAGGCATAACGTAGAAATGAGTAGAGAAGACAAGAAACGAAAAAGAGAATTGTTCGCCGGTAACGATCACGGTTGAACGTTTACCGGAGAACATAAAATTCCTTAGGTTGGATGCGTCTCTTCCGCTTACGTAATTCTTCGAGTCATTAGGGACGGAAAGGAAGGGGAAGCTCTTTCAGTATCACAAAGGTTGAAGAAGAAGTTGTAAATTCACTTCCGGTTAACGGGAAGGTCGATGATCTTGTAAAAATCAGAAAGTAACTCTAAATAAATTTTTTTTCTATAAATTTAATGACTCTCACGTAATTTATAAACAACACAATAAACATATATATATTATGCACGATACCATATGGTTCGAGTATCGCGTGTTTCTTAGTATCTAAACTGTGATCTGTCCTGACCTAACCTAACCTAACCTAACCTACGAACTTGTAATAAAACATACACTGTGTATAAGTGCGCATCGAAATTCCTGAGATTCGCGAGTCTTCCGCGTGGCTAATCCCTCTCTCTCTCTCTCTCTCTCTCCCCCCGCGCTAAGGATGAAATGAGGAAGAGGAGCTAGAACGAGAGGAACGGAGGAGTAAAGGGTGGGGGCTAAGGAGGCAAGGAACGAGTAAGAGAGAGAAAGATTGATAAAAAAAGAGCGACTCACTTCCGAGTAACGGGAAGGGAGATGAGAGTGCGGATATCGGCCCAAGAGGCCTATGGTCCTGTGAGGTTATATTTCATTGGTGGGACCTCATCTTGGTCCTCACGTGCACATCGTGCCGGATCAAAGGACTGCGGACTCTGTCTGGGAAGTCATGCGCGAAATGTGTAACGCTAACGGTGAATACACGGGAGAATCGAGAGGCGCCCACTAATTGGACATACATATGTAAGTCCTTCATTAACAGTCTTTGTTATATATATTTGCTGTTGGGCCTAACGCGCGTTAGTCTAGCTCTAAATTTAAATGATGCAAATGACGATTAAGTCATTGTCGAGGTTCATGTGAAAATTTTCGAGTAAACGCGGAATTTGAAAGTTTTATTACTCGGGTTGGATTTTGAAACTTTTGCTCTACGAGGGCGCAAGCTTTTTTAATTTTTGGAATATTGGTGTAATATTTTTTTATTATTTTATACAAATTTGACTTTTTGTCTACCGATTCAACTTTTACAGCGAACACGTAGTGCGAATTATTCTTTATTACAATTCGTGTAGTAAACTATCGGTAAAAGACCTCAATAGAATTCTCATAGTCGCGGTCCAATTCTCATAGACGCGATACATGTTTGTAATGAACTCTCCAATTAAGGACCAGAAGAGCGGGTAGGGATGCGCTAGCTGTTGTTGTGCTTTTTTTTTGTGTAACCTCAGTACAGTTAAGGATGAGTGATATTCTTAAGCCGAATTCATAATTCACGGTACCTTTCACAAAAGAGTTACACTCGCTTATACATGAATCTTGTATGACTTAACTTTCGAGTAAATTTCATTTTTACTTACCTGAATATCATCGCCAGATTTTGTCTGCTAAATAATTGCATCTTGTGTTAATGATACTTTTTATTTCGTTTCAACTTTTCACCACGGTTCAAACCCACAGAGAAATCTTTGTGCATAAGCAGGAAGTATATTATGTAATGGAATCAAGTCACCGATGCACTTTTTTTTTTTTAAACAATTGAAAGTCTCAAAATTTTTGAAATAAAAATCGTGTCCATCGACTTCCTCCTTACGGGCGAAAATAGATATAGCTATTGGTATGTTATAGAATAGTATGTTATTTAATGTGAAATGTCTAGGTAATTAAAAAAAAAAAAAAGATTTGGTATCTCGTAAGAGTGATTTTCTGATTGAGAGTGCAGCGAAGTGCAATTATCTTGTGCTATATAATTTATCAATAAAGCGTGCATATTGCCTTGAGCTAGTTTTTCTTAATTTCATTTTTTATTTTCAAATGCCTCGTTTTACGCGCATCATGAGAATTGGCGAGTGAATCTCGAGTGCAAAAGTGCATCGTAGAAAATTGGGTCGACCTTGTCACGTGTATTTGAACGACAACGAGCTCGCAGAATGCATATCTCAGAGTGCATCACTCTTCGTTGCACTTATTGGTATACGTAAGCAAGAATGGAAATTATCATCGAGAATAACGGGATCAAGTGTACGCACGAACGAATCGGATGACCAAAGGCGTATAAAACAGATAGGATGCAATTTCGTACTTTTATAATACTTCAAGTATTTAGACGACTGACGAAATTTTTTTCATTGGGCATATGTATCACGTGGAATTCCAAAAAAAAAAAAAATAGCAACGAGTCCGACCGGTTTTCTTAATGGCTCATTATATCCAAAAACGTCAAAACATATTTCTAACAAAATTCCAAAGTGATCAAAGAATCCGCGACATTCTTGACTTCATTATACAATTTTTGATCTATGATGATCTAACTTCTTTGATCGGATTAGAAATCTTTTTAAATTATAAAAACGTGAAAATTGTGTAACCAAATTTCATCGAAATAAAAAAAGAAAAGTCATCAACCATCGAACGTGGCATCAGGAAGAGAACAATTTTCAAAAACAACCAATCTCAAAGCTCAAAGTGAAAGACGTCGGAATGAAAGTTCTCCAATTCGTTCCGAGCAATTAGACAAGAAGATTGGATTTACAAAAGCAAAGATCAGCGAAGATCGTCAGCAATCGTAGTGGATCCGTTCTCTGAGCAGGGCCG